TTTAAAAGCCACAATTTAATTTCTAGTCTTGCAGATGTAATCAATACTCATACTTCTTACTGCTGCAGTTGCTGGTCACCTGACCTCGTGTGTCATATCCAACAACAAAGCCTCTCTGCTTAAAGTCTGAAAAACACCTCTCGAGATACTTGTAGATCCCCTGGAAAAAGAAAAGAAGAAAAAAAAACAGGGAAGAATTAGCTCTAATGGAGCACACACAAATATTAAAAATGATCTTGAACATAGGATCCATAATGTCAGTAGGCAAAATACAGCTCAGCAAAAATGTCAATGATGATATCTGCAAAAGCAGCATATTTATTTTGCCCCAAAGTGTTCACAGAAAGAAAACAGAGAAAAAGTTGCAGGAAATAAAAGCAGTACAACAACTAGTGACCAAACAAAATAAACAGGAAGCTTGAACCAGCAAAATCCTCAAGCAGCAAACTCTTGTTTTGAATCCATGTGCTTTTATGTGTTCCAAGAATCTTCTTGAAGACCCAATTGAGAAAAATCCATTTTTTTGCAAGTCCATCCCCTCAGATAATACAAGGATAGTGCTAGTGAGAGCTACACTTTATCCTTCTGTTCCCAGTAGTCAGACACCTTCCAAAGCATTCATTCCACATTTGCATTACAAGGATGCTTCATCCTTATCCACTTTTTCAAACAAAAGTTGATTCCCAGCGATCTGACGCAGGTGGGCAGATTAAAGACCTCGACTCACACACTGTGCAGATACAACAACACAAATACAAGCTGTCTTCTATACATAAAGGCAGAACATTTCCAATGGCAAGATATTGGAGAAGATCCCCATGCAGGGAAAAGAAAGTAGAGTAGATGAAGGGAGTAAATTTTAAAAATGCATTGAGGGTGAGGAGACATATGTGCTGAAACATATGTAGGAGGAAAACAAAACAAAACAAAAAAACCTCTCAGCCAGCTGCCTCTTAATTTCAAAATGGGAGGAGATGGGTGCTCTTTGAAATAATGCATCACGTGGTGTTCCAGCTTCTCTAGCTTCACCATCCCCATCGCATCCATTCACTTCCCAGACTGGATCTCTCTGGAGATCCATCACAGAAACAACCCAGGATGGATCAGCAGTTTTAGACAAAAAAACATCCCCGAACTTACCTTGGCCAAGCTTATCTTTAAAAAGCTGCCTCTTACAGGGTACAGACTTGCCCTTGATGGAGGAGGCAGGGGGGTTGTACTAGGATTAAAAATATTTCCCCCCCAGTATTAAGTACAATTCTTCGTAGTGCCCCTATCTAGAACTGACTCTGCATCACCAACAAGCAATCTCTCAACTGGAAAGCTGGTCTGACTCCTATCCACAAAATTCAGTTGAGCTCATTTTTATTTATTTTTAATGGTTTTTACCCTTTCCACCAAAGAATGCATACTTCAAAGCACTGACAAGTGGATACTGGTGTCTCTTTGGAGAACCATTTCAGCTGCAGATGGGGAGGGATTCACTATGAAGGGATTCACAGAGAGAAAAATACTTTAAAAATAAATAAAAATCTTTGAATATTGACAGAACTAGAAGCTGTGCCATGGCACGATCGCCAGCTGAAGTCACCTTCACGCTGAACTGAAACGTGTTGATACACAAACACGTTCACATCGCCTGACAATTTCAACAACTTTCGTTTGCAGTTGGTAAAGAGATAAGAGAAATGGGGAAAACCTGTTCAAGTTTGACTAGAAAAGATTGAATAATATTTAAGGAGCCAAACAGCAGATTTTTTATCCACAGATCCCTTATTCAGGCTAGTGGCATCTTGAGGTCGCAGAGTTTTATCTGAACTAGTTCCTCAAATACCAAGAAACTGCATAAAAAAGACAAGATTTACAGAACAACCGGGACCATTCTCAGACAAACTGGTACTAGTGAAGAGCAGAAAATGAAATGTTAGAAGCAGCACGAATTAAGGCAAGTTCAGAAAGAACAACTAGTTCTCCCATCCACGCAAAGTCAATACATAGAATCATGGAATGGTTTGGGTGGGAAGGGACCTTCAAGATCATCCAGTTCCAACCCCCCTGCCATGGGCAGGGACACCTTCCACTACACCAGGTTGCCCAAAGCCTCATCCAACCTGGCCTGGAACACTGCCAGGGATGGGGCAGCCACAGCTTCTCTGGGCAACCTGTGCCAGTGCCTCACCACCCTCAATGTAAAGAATTTCTTTCTTATATCTAAGCTAAATCTCCCCTCTTTCAGTTTAAATCCATTGCCCCGTGTCCTGTCACTGCACGCCGTTGTCCAAAGCCCCTCTCCAGCTTTCCTGTAGCCCCTTTAGGCACTGGAAGGTGCTGGAAGGTCTCCCCGGAGCCTTCTCTTCTCCAGGCTGAACAGCCCCAACTCTCCCAGCCTGTCTCCAGAGCATCTTACATCCCACTTGTAAGAGTGTTTTGTGGTTTGTAAAAGTGTTACACACCATTTCTATTTCACACCCACCCCCCAGGAGCTCTCCCTCGACAGCAGAGGCATCTCTTGAACTTTCTGGCAAGCCTGGCACCTCTAGCATTCTGCAGATCTTATTTCTTCCTCACCCCTTACTTCCCAACCACAACCATCAGGGCTGGATTGGGTTTTTGGCTCTAAAGCCCACACCCTTACACATCTCCCAGCTTTCCATTCCCTCATTCCTCAAAGACAGAACAACTGGTTTATTTTCGTTGCAAAGTAAGGGTCTATACTGATTTTTTTTAACAGGTCTGATCTTTGGTACTTCCTCCCCTGAACCTTATCTCAGCTATTTTTGCTGAGATAATTTCTGAATAAAAACAGGAATGTCTTTACTTTCTGCCATGGAGAAGTTTTGCTTAAAATTAAGGCAATATGATACGCAGTACGAGAACAAAATAACTCAAACTTAGCCAAAGATCCCACAGCTGAAATTAGCCCAGTCCTACTGGACTTGTTTACTATCCAAATATCTTTATTAAAGCTGCAGGGAACAAAAATAAATGAAAAACATGACAGTGAGAGGAAGTGAACACAGTGTCTCTCCACCATCCGAAGCCTCTACTCGAGTTCACATCTATCTTCTTCGAGGTGTCATTCTCCCTTTCTCAGAGGGCAGTTAGTAACTCCAACACCTCTTGGGATAGGTCCTCTCTTTAATAAATTTCTCAATTTAAAGAATTTCTATTTCCTTTCTACAAGACTCAGGTTTTGATAGTGTCCCCATCTGATTTCTCCTGGGATAGCTACTGCTTCTAAGTTGGAGACATCCCAGTCAACATCTTGCCACTACATACTTGGTGAAAATACCTTATTAGCGAGTGTCAGCACACAAACCTGTGACCACCTCAGTGGATCTAAAACAAAATTCTGTTTAAGTGCACTGAAGTACTACAAATATTTATACCACCGCACAGTTCAGGTGATTTCCCTATATAAAATTCACAGGCTGATCTAGTCTGCCTCTACAGCCATGTTTTGAATAATCCTCTTCCATGTCCAGTCCCTTATGACCAACTTCCAAAGAGAAGAGAAGGGAAAATGATGCTATCAAGAATGACATGGAAAGATTTTTGGCTGATTAATCAAGAGAGATACTAACAGCTTTATAAAGCCCAGTATTTAAATCTTTCAACCATTATCTCCAGCTTTGCTTACACAGCAACAGGAAACTCGGAGCAATCCTGAGACCCCCCTGCAGTGCTGCCTTCAGCTCTGGGGTCCCCAACACTAGAAGGACATGGAGCTGCTGGAGCAGGGCCAGAGAAGGCCACAGAGATGATGCGAGGGCTGGAGCACCTCTGCTCTGGAGACAGGCTGGGAGAGTTGGGGCTGCTCAGCCTGGAGAAGAGAAGGCTCCGGGGAGATCTTCCAGCACCTTCTAGTACCTAAAGGGGCTACAGGAAAGCTGGAGAGGAGCTTTGGACACGGGTGTGTAGTGACAGGACACAGGGTGATGGATTTAAACTGGAAGAAGGGAGATTTTGATGGGATCTAAGGAAGAAATTGTTCCCTCTGAGGGTGGTGAGGCACTGGCACAGGTTGACTGGAGAAGTTTCCCCATCCCTGGAAGTGTTCCAGGCCAGGTTGGATGGGGCTTCAGGCAACTGGTGTAGTGGAAGGTGTCCCTGCCCATGGCAGGGAGGTTGGAACTGGATGGTCTGTGAGGTCCCTTCCAACCTAAACCATTCTGTGATTCCATAAAGATGACTAGGAGGTCCGTGACAGGTTACTTACCTGTTAATGAAAGCAATTGGCTCAGCAGGACAAAAGCAATACTTTAGCAGGAAAATCCAGGCTTTATGTGCAGGTTTATGCACCTACAATCTTCAGGAGAGCCAAAAGCAACTTCTGGATATTCTGTACCTTTCTGGATCTGACTTTTCATGATATCTATATAATTGTGCAAATGAAGAACACAGCATGCACCTTCAAATATTTCCTTCAATTAAACCTTAGGTAATTACACTGAAGTTATTTTTTTGAAAGGCCATTTGGCTGTACCTGCTACAGGAATAAACGGAGAGAAACGGGGTGGCCCATTTTCACCTTAAGTTCAGCAAAACTGTTAAACGTCATTAGTTTCTGAAACAAGAGTACTCAAAGAGATTAAATCTGATGCAGTTTACTTCAGAAGCGAGATCTAATCTGCTTCCCAGAGATTGCTTTTTCTGACTTGATACATGGCTTTAACAAACAACTAAAAATAGCAGCTCCACAAAGGGAGCAAAAGAATACAACCCAGTTTGTTACTTGCAGAAACCAGTAATGCCCATGAGACTGAACTTGCAAACACATTCCCTGCTGACCAAAATGAAATTTTTCACTTTTCTGCCAAGAATGTGGTATCTGGCAGCCGATCCAAGTCCAGTCAGGCTTTCACGAGACTGGAAACACAAAGGCAGCACGCAGCGCTCAGGCGCTGGGAGCGTGAGCAACTCCAGTTTGGACAGACTGCACAGGCCAAAAAGTGAAGTGACTGTTATTAACTTCCTCAGCAGCATCCAGATGTTTACTCTGCTTCAAAGAAAACTGGACTTGTTTAAAGGAACCTTGTTACTCTTAACAATTCCATCTCTGGCAACAAACTACCAGTTTTTAAACTATTTGTTTGTTAATCTCTTCAGCTCGTTCCCACTGCATCAGTGGAGACCACCTGTACTGCATCAGCAAGTTTT